ATATATATATATATATATATATATATATATATATATATATATATATATATATATATATATATATATATATATATATATATATATGTATATATTTATAAACCGAGTGAGGGGGCTTTATGGGTGCATATCGACGCGAACCGAAGGCGAGCGGCTATAGGCACCGATAAAGCCCAATCACGAGCCCAATCACGAAGCCCAATCACGAGGACTTCTAAAATTCACCTTTTGTTTTGGGTCCTAATGAAATAATAAGAAATGCTAACTACAATAGTTCTATTCTTTTACGATTCTTCCCTTCATTGATCGGCAAGCAAATTAATGACTGGATTAATTATCAAGTCATACAAGCTAGTCGTTAAGCGGAGTTTTCAAATGGGAATTTGAACATTTAACTTGTGTCGTTAATGTATGAGTCGGCTCCGAAGCGCTTGAAGTGCTGAAGAGGAGCAAACGTTGCTCGAAAGAGCGACGACGCCGCCAAGTACAAGATACGGGACAAAGTGGGCTTTGAAGATATTTGATTCCTGGAGAGCTGCTAGAAAGGTCAAAGAAGTGAAGATCTGCGATGCTGGTCATGAAACTGATGATATTGTTGCAATCCAGACATTAACTACATCGCTGGCGGAGTGTAAAAAAAGCGGTGTGTAATCAAAACGAAAGGGTTGTTAATCCCGTGTTTAACAATTGTAACATTACCTTTAACTTTGGAAAATAAAGTATTTATTGATTTCTCAAATATTTGAGTTTTTATTAGGAACAGATTAATAAACATTTTGTTAAAGAATGCTTTATAAAGGTATATGTACCCTTATCATAAAGGTACATGTAGTCTATATATGAATTTTAAATCAGCACACACCGATTTATATCACGGTATATAAGGGTCATCATGTGACGAGATTTTAAGAATTTCATTGGTTAATTAGCTCATGAATTATTCATGAATTTTAGAAATATATATATAAATATATATATATATATATATATATATATATATATATATATATATATATATATATATATATATATATATATATATATATATATATATATATATACCGCGAACTCCAGCCTTTGTTAGAACACTTTTTACTTTTTCAGAGACACCTTTGACGTATGGGAGACACGTCGAACCTCGTATATTTCATTTACCACGTTTCGATTTACTTGCGTACGATCATTTATAACTTCCTCAATGAATCTTTTCTTATAACCATTTAATTCTAATGCGTGCAAAACATTCTCAGTCTCTTCAGCCTGTAAAGTCGAGTTAGATGGAATAGTCTTTGCTCGATCTAACAACGTTTTTATAACAGCTTTTTTATCATTAACATGGCTGTGAGAATCAAACGTCAAATATTTATCCGTGTGTGTACTTTCTCGAAATACTTTCACAGCAATGTCACCAGATGCGGTACTGAGTAATTCTGTATCTAAATGCTATTGTTTGATCTCCGTCTCCATTCATAACAGGCATTTCAATCGCAAACTGGATATGAGGGTTAATGGAGTTTAGATGTTGATGGAACAGCGGAACGTCCGGTTGTTTTAAGCTGGCATTAGAGTCATTCACATACCTTTTCCACCACCGTACCGAAACAAGCGATGACTCTAATGCAACTTTCTCGATTCTCTGCATGACTAGTTCCGCAATAACTGCGCTTACTGGCGACCCCATAGGACATCCAAATATCTGCTGGTAGTGACAGTCGTCAAACATGAAATAGCTATTGTTTAATATGAACTTTAATAAGTTGTAAATCTGTTCTGCGGTTAAATTGGTGTGTTGTGTCCAAAGATTTGTGTTTGCTAGCTCTTCTTTTACGATTTGCAGAGCCAGATTTGCAGGTTACGTCAAACGATACAAGCTGTTCGTCCGGATTAATTAATTTTCTGGTTGGTGACAAAAGTTGGAAATTCCTTCGAATTTTTTGCTCGGTGTAGTTCTCATTATATAGATGCTTTAATATACGCGCCAAATACTTAGATACTTCATATGTAGGAGATCCGATTGAGCTATTAATTGGTCTAAAAGGAATGTCAGTGCCCGTTTCTATTTTGAAATGTTCATCTTGCTCAACCAAAGGTACTTTATGTATTTTGGGTAAACAGTATAAAGCCGCAGGGAAGGAGTCGAAAGGTTTTAACTTGGTATACTCGTTTTCTGTTAAATATCCCGTGTCTTTTAATTTCAATAAAATTTGTTGCAGGTCTGTCTCAATTTTCGATGTTGGATTGCGTCTTTTGTCCGTGATATCCTTATAAGTGTTTTTATCCTTTAACATTTCCTCTACATGGTTTTGATAATCTGTCCGATTCATAATTACTACGGCATTACCTTTATCCGCTTTTGTAATCATTATTTCTTTATCATTTCGCAAATCTTTTAACGCTTTTTCTTCTTGCCGAGAAAGGTTTCGGTTGGTCGGGCATTTGGCACTTTTAATCACAGAAGAAATACGTTCCCGAATGTCATTCTTTTCATCAATGGTTAGGTTATTTATGCCTTGTTCTACAGAAGCAATTATATCTTTCGTGCATGGGTATGCTTTTGTGGATTATTGCAAAATTCAGGCTACGTCTGAGTAATGTAATGTCATTGTGATTCAAAACTCGATTGGAAGTGTTAACGACCCAACGTTTTCTCGATTGTTTATCTTTAGTTCATATATCTGTATATCTGGATAGCTTCTTTTTATGTCTGTCTAATACTTTATTTTTCTCATGCAAACATCGTTGAAAAATTGCTTCCCGTGACATACCTATTGTCCGTTCATCTAAGATCTGCTCAAAGTCTTCGTTCAGCTTGGTTGATTCCGTTGCTATATTGCGTAAGTTGTTATGGCAGTTTCCTATCAAAATACGTAAGTAAGCCCAGCCAGTTTTTTCCGCGATTTCCCAAGCTTTAGGGTGGTCGATAGGTGGTCTCGAATAAAGGATGGATGGTAGTCTTTTAACGTCTTTACATTGGTGTAAATAGGTAAGATGTGACTTGTATCGTACTTCAGTCAACGCAATTCGTTCTAATCTTCTTGCCACGCTAAGTGCTCCAGCACCATTGTTGTTCTTGATTAAACTATATATACTGTTGAGGCGATCAGTGGAATACATAGTAACTTTGAATTTTGTAACTGATCTAATTAAAAACATTCTAATGTTAAAAAGTTTTTTAAAAATTTTTGCTAAATTTTCGGCTGCAAACTGCTAGCCTTCTTCTGAGCAATGTGGCTATTAAAGTCAGATTGAATTGTTTGTATAATGTCTACTGTTCTGCTTGATTGAATTAATCAACGGTAAATGGCAGGATGGAAATTCAGCATGTTCATTGACAGTGTCTTTGTTTATCACTGAATGTAGCGCTTCGAGAAAAATCCTTTGTGTATAATTTGTAACTCCTTTCTCGAGTATCACGGCGTCTGTCTTTGCGGCATCGTGTCCGGTACTTTCTGCGTGTTCTTTAATTGCAGAAAAGATCTTTTTGCGAACTCCTGGCTTGTGCTCCAACCATCTAGAACACCAACATCTCTTGGATTCACCGATGTACGAAAAAGGGCAGGATTTACATTCATAGTTGTACACTACAGCCTTTGTTCTCTCCTCTGATGGTCTCGTCTTTGGTATGCGAAATATATTTGCCAACGTACGTACAGGTTCAAATGCTACCCGCGAACTCCAGCCTTTGTTAGAACACTTTTTACTTTTTCAGAGACACCTTTGACGTATGGGAGACACGTCGAACCTCGTATATTTCATTTACCACGTTTCGATTTACTTGCGCACGATCATTTATAACTTCCTCAATGAATCTTTTCTTATAACCATTTAATTCTAATGCGTGCAAAACATTCTCAGTCTCTTCAGCCTGTAAAGTCGAGTTAGATGGAATAGTCTTTGCTCGATCTAACAACGTTTTTATAACAGCTTTTTTATCATTAACATGGCTGTGAGAATCAAACGTCAAATATTTATCCGTGTGTGTACTTTTTCGAATTACTTTTACAGCAATGTTACCAGATGCGGTACTGAGTAATTCTGTATCTAAATGCTATTGTTTGACCTCCGTCTCCATTCATAACAGGCATTTCAATCGTAAACTGGATATGAGGATTAATGGAGTTTAGATGTTGCTGGAATAGCGGAACGTCCGGTCGTTTTAAGCAGGCATTAGAGTCGTCCACATACCTTTTTCATCACCGTACCGAAACGGGCGATGACTCTAATGCAACTTTCTCGATTCTCTGCATGACTAGTTCCGCAATAACTGCGCTTACTGGCGACCCCATAGGACATCCAAATATCTGCTGGTAGTGACAGTCGTCAAACATGAAATAGCTATTGTTTAATATGAACTTTAATAAGTTGTAAATCTGTTCTGCGGTTAAATTGGTGTGTTGTGTCCAAAGATTTGTGTTTGCTAGCTCTTCTTTTATAAATTGCAGAGTCAAATCAACGGGAATTGACGTGAACAAGGAGGTTACGTCAAACGATACAAGCTGTTCGTCCGAATTAATTTTCTGGTTGGTGACAAAAGTTGCAAATTCCTTTGAATTTTTACCTGTGTAGTTCTCATTATATAGATGCTTTAATATACGCGCCAAATACTTAGATACTTCATATGTGGGAGATCCGATTGAGCTATTAATTGGTCTAAAAGGAATGTCAGTGGCCGTTTCTATTTTGAAATGTTCATCTTGCTCAACCAAAGGTACTTTATGTATTTTGGGTAAACAGTATAAAGCCGCAGGGAAGGAGTCGAAAGGTTTTAACTTGGTATACTCGTTTTCTGTTAAATGTCCGGTGTCTTTTAGAATTAAAGAATTAGAATTAAATGGTTCTAAGAAAAGATTCATTGAGGAAGTTATAAATGATCGTACGCAAGTAAATCGAAAGTGAAAAATGAAATACGAGGTTCGACGTGTCTCCCATACGTCAAAGGTGTCTCTGAAAAAGTAAAAAGTGTTCTAACAAAGGCTGGAGTTTGGGTAGCATTTAAACCTGTGCGTACGTTGGCAAATATATTTCGCGTACCAAAGACGAGACCATCAGAGGAGAGAACAAAGGCTGTAGTGTTCAAATATGAATGTAAATCCTGCTCTTTTTCGTACATCGGTGAATCCAAGAGATGTTGGTGTTCTAGATGGTTGGAGCACAAGCCAGGAGTTCGCAAAAAGATATTTTCTGCAATTAAAGAACACGCAGAAAGTACCGGACACGATGCCGCAAAGTCAGACGCCGTGATACTCGAGAAAGGAGTTACAAATTATACACAAAGGATTTTTCTCGAAGCGCTATATATATATATATATATATATATATATATATATATATATATATATATAGCTTAAGATTTTGGTTTACGAAACACAAACAGTGCTCAATACCATATAGATAGAGCGTAATATAGATAGTTTTTCGTTTTACCTCAAAGAACCACAACAGTCTGTTTCATCCGTATAGGAATCATCAGGTGGTGAATAATTTCGAAATTGTTGGTTGCTTTTATGCTATCGAAAGAATGTTCGGAATGCGTGTAGGCGAAACAATGCTTAGGTGAAACAATGCATGCTTGGGTCATTAGGTTTTGTTAACGACCTTGTTTACTCGAAACCGGTTTTTGTGACGACATTTGCCGAAAATTTCGCTTCTTTTATTTAGTAAATTGTCTTTGTTTATGTCTTTCAAAATGCAAAATTTTTCTTCCAAACATAAATTGCAGCGTTTTGATCCCCCTGTGTACGAAATAGCGTGTTTTAAAATTGACCATTTGATGGTATAATCCTGATTTCGAAATTTCGCAATTTCGAAATTATTCACCACCTGATGATTCCTATACGGATGAAACCGACTGTTGTGGTTTTTTGAGGTAAAACGAAAAACTATATATATATATATATATATATATATATATATATATATATATATATATATATATATATATATATATATATATATATATATATATATATATATATATATATTGAGCACTGTTTGTGTTTCGTAAACCAAAATCTTAAGCTATATTTGCACCCGGTAATCGGTTGTGCACTCTTGTCTACGTTATTCATTTTATTTCTACTTCAAACATGCGACAATTTCGATTCGATTATTCACTAAAGAATATTCCTATACCATCACAGGATGCTTATCTAAAGAATTTGATTGAAAAAGTGGAAAGCGTAACAAAACGCATGAGATGGAAAGCTAATTTCTTCCTAAAAGGATCAACGACTCAAAACCAAAGCAACCTTTTCGGCCTTTCGTCTAACAAATCGCCTCCTTCAATTCCACTTTTGAAACATTTCGAAGACGACTTGATAAAACTAATTGAAAACGTAAAATTCCGGCGTCCTAAAGACCAATTTCAGACATCTTTGGCTAACGATTTGAAGAAAATTAATTCATCCCCCAACATTTTCATTTTCGCGGACAAAACTAGAAATATTTACGAAACGTCACTGAACACATACAACGAACTCTTACATGATAACATCACGAAAACGTACAAACATGGATCAGAGGACTTCATACATGAAATTGACTCCGAATTGAAAGAAATTTCGGGTAGGTTAGGAATTGGCGACAGAATTGAACGAATGAAAAAACGCGAAGCATTTATATCTTTAAAA